TCCAGACTTACGCTTGCAAGTGCCAGTCAATGTGGCTGAAACCATTGTTGGTTCAGATAAATGAGAAACACCAGGTAAACCGGGACATACCAGTGCAAGAACCACGGGCCGGAATTGTCGGTGACAAACCGAATCGTAACATTGTCGCCGTTGGGATCGTTACCTCCGAGGCTGACAACATCGCGCTTAACAGGATTGTCATAGTTGGGCTCGGTTTGGCCTGCACTCCTGACGACCCAGAAGTTATGCTAGGGGTATGAAGCATGAATAATCTCCACGGCAAGATATGCGAGTAGAATCCTCACTCCATGCAAGTGGATGGGATGCTGAGGAAGAAATAGAAGATAAGTATCTGGAGAAGTGAATAACATGGCAAAGCTTGCTCACAGGAGCACCTGCAGACGTTGAAGAATCCATTGGGAAAGATAACTCAATCACTTGGTTCTCTGATGATCAAGTCACTAATCAAGACAGGCATGCACAGAGCCAGGTAAATATACGCACTTGGGAGAGTGTAAACACTACCCTTGGGCATAAGCTCCTGGGCGGTCTTCGCTCCGCTCATGATCTGTAGCAAAACAGGCATAGGAGGGTTCGTGTAGCTAACATCGTTCATGGTGAACTGGGCCCCGTTCGCCTAGGGAACCGGTCGGAAATGATGTGCTGGAATTAGGCGACGTGAGGCTTACAAAGCTAATGTCCATGTTCAGTGCATAGACGCCGCAACCAGCGCATGCTCCTCCAGGCTGCATGGCAAATCAATGGTGCTGACATTGATTCACGAGATAGTGTACTTACGACCGCAGTCTTATCCAAGGGCTATAACAGAACAAAAGTCGTCAGAGACAGGAACACACGAGAGTTGGGGGAAACGGAGCCCGCACGTGGAGGTTAATCTCCTGCAGAGGCGCGATGCTTGTGGTGGGCTGCGTAGTCGGCTCGGAGTTAGTGGCACCCGTATAGCGCAAGATGGCGGCATTGTAACCGCCGGAGTTCTTGCCCGAAGTCGCGCCGCTAGTGGGAAGCGATCGGATCCCTGAGGGTGCAGGAATCAGTATATACCTTGCGACATGGGGTATCGTGGTCACTCACAGTAGTTATCGGCCTTCTCGTTGGCTTCGAGCTGCTTACTGGTTGAGTTCCGTAGCACAAAGACGGACAGCATACTCAGCTTACGATGAATGAATACCGTTGACCGGCAAGAATCTGGATCGAGTCGACAGTGAGCGGCTCGTGGTTAACTCCGTCGACTTCGATGATGGTCATGTTGTGTCCGTCGATGGAGAAGGTGAACGTTGGATCACACGACATAGATATCAGACGGAAGCGGTAGCTGAGTGACAAACGGTTCAATCCTCATCGAAGATATGTGGGGATGAACAGAAGCGTACCGCTTGCCAGACTCCACGTTTACAACGGACAGATTGTTATTTGGGTACTGAATAGAGCGGCCTTGCCCGTTAATAAGAACCGAGTCGGAGACACTAGGTGATGCATCCGTGAGTAACCATAATAAACAAACAATTGAGGATGCGACATACGGGAAAGGTCCAGCTTGCGTAGACGGAGTATGGTACCAGTCGGCAAGGGTTATAACGGTTGTTTCTGTCAGGGAGAGATTCATGAGTGTGCGTGTCTTTCCCTGTCAAGCATATGAAAGCTTAAACTAACCATCGTCCACATCGTACATGTTCTTGAACGGATCATTGGGGTCATATATAACGATCGGTCCCCGCAGACCATCGCAGTATTGTGTGCCATCGTGGGAGTGATACCAGTACGTACCCGCCTGATCTGGCACATCGAAGTTGTACAGAAATGAGTTCCCCGGGTTTATAGGGCATTGCGTGACCATGGAAGTTCCATCGGCCCAATTAGCACCATTCTGGAATAGCCCATGCCAATGCTGAATGGAGAGTAAGAGCTGTTGCATGACCGGGAAGCAGAGACACCTACAACCGTGGTGCTGGTCAGCATTGTATTGTCGGTCAGATGGTCCTCGACATTGATCTGGAAGTTATCTCCCTAATTGTCGCTTGGCATTGTATTTTGAGTGGATCAAAGCAGTTGGACTGTACCTTGTTTGCCTTGATAATAGGACCAGGGAATGTTCCTCCAGCGACAACAGTGCTACATATCAAGTTTATAGTTGAGCAGGGGTAGGAAAAGAAGGAATGGAACTCACGACCGAGTGTATCCATCAGGAGCAAGTTGGACATTGGAGATGGTAAGATTAGTGTTCGGGCCCACTGACGTGATGCCCAGTGCGCCAGAGACGAATGCTAAAGTAATGAAGGTAAAAAAAGCACAAGAGAGCGACATAAAGAACAGGATAATTTAGGATTAGAAATGAATGGTAGTGAGTAGTTCTATGTGTTGAGACTCTAAAGGTGTCTCGATGACTCTATGGTTTGTCTGAGACTAGATTGACATTTTATACCGCTGCAGTTCCTCCGAAAGCTTACATTTTGCTGTCTTCGCCCAGAGAGCACCATGGTGAGATGCAGGGCAGTGAAGGACCTCTGCGTTAGGTGTAAGGACGGTCAGTCGGCGGACATGATCTGGACAATCGCAGTCGACGCCACAGACACTGAGAGGCCTTAGCACTCAGCGACGGAGGGCGATCAGGGCAAGGAGAGACCGTGGCCCAATCCTGTACTACAGGATGCTGTACCGGATCCCTTGCGACCCGCCATAGTCTGATGGATAACATTCTTGACCCTCCGAGACAGCACCGCGGCCGTTGGTCCCAAGTGGATGTTGTGGATCATTTTGCTGTCGTGCACGGTGCATCACGGCCACAGCGAGAAACGATGCGCCGACATGTAGCAATTCTGCGATTCTGAGTCATATGAGGCAGCGACCATCTGGACGTGATGTGGTGGAATGCGGACATTATGCATTAACATCGGATGGCTGTGGCTATGCATTGTGCACGCTTCTCTTCCAGTCCCGCTTCCCTCTGATCTGATCTCAGCGGTCACCAATGTCCTTCAGTTGTTGTTTCTCCATTACCTCGGCCTTGGAGTAGGCTGATGCTGCTCACTGCCGAGACGACAAGATGCGATTCAATGCCGTGGAAGCCCTGCGTAGCTCTCCGAAAGTACGAGAGCCTCACACAGGCGCATCAGGACAAACAAGTTTCCGGTACAGGAATAAAGCCCTGTATCCAGTATACCCGCGACGGCAACAGGTACGACCATCAAAGTGCCTATCAAGATATTCGGAGAGCTGCTGGTCTTACCGTGCGTTCATTTCATAACGGGCATATTAGCATGGGGGATGGTCCCGACGCTCACTATCTCGGAGCACCCAGGTACACCGGAGCTTCGCTGTCCATGTTGGGACTTCGGAGAGACATCAACTCTCCGAGGGCTCTTGACCCGCCGCTGCGATGAGCTGTCCAGGCTGCAAGCTACCTGGGCTGGCCTCGTGGAGATCATACATGTTTGAGAGCTGCCCCTGGACTCCGCTATTCAAGAATATACTCATTTCATCCCTGCCCTTGGGCGTCCTATTATCTGGCATGTCAGGCCTGGTGACTATGGCTCCGACAAACTGTTCAGAATGAAATGACAGAATATGAATATTCACGTATGTTCTCCATCTCGGTACAGCATCTGGGTCTTTCACGCCAATATTTCCGAATTGCGGCGGTAGAACACATAGACCGGCGCACGGAATATGTCGGCCGCAATAACGAATCAAACGCTCCGGGTGGAGAAGGCAGGCGACATTCGTCTCGAGAGACAAGGCCTCGTAAGTCCAGGACTAGCTACCCAAACATTCTGTCTCAATTTCGGTTAGGTGTTGATATCGCCCCACAAGCTGCTTTCGCACGCATCCCCTCCTACGCCACTGAATCTGGTTCTCTAATTGCTGCCATGTTGTATGGCTCGTCACCTATCCCTCTGTAACTGCCAACGGCCACCACGGGGAGCTGTGTGCATGTATTTTTCCTCCGTTTGATGCATCCTATCATTACATCCCTGGACCACGCCCGGACTGGCTGCCATGCGGAAACTCTGACCCCAATACTGAGACATCTGTCGATCGTCCGCTTAACGACGGTGGGCGATGCTCTGAGATTTCGCTCTGTCCCTACGGCCGGTTGTACACTGCAGCGACGTCTAATTGTACTTCTGAAATGGGGCTTACCGAGGTCCGAGACTGCGCTGCGGCGACTGGCCGTGTCTCCAGACTTGCTATCCGAGCCCCTGTCCACATCGCATTGTCTACCCGTTGCTGGGATAAACTCACGCAACTTGGTCACTGTTAATAGTTGTTGTGTCTGTCTCGACTGTTCAAGCAGCGGACGTTGAGTATTGGCTGCTGTGCTTCCCGAGGTCCATCTCTGGCTGAATAACCCAACCTCAGTACTGCGTAACCCGCAGGAAGTTCAAAAATATTCTCTCGGGGATGCTGGCTCAGCTATGTATTTGATTTTCTGGAGACACGCCGCTCAGTGGTACCAACTAGATGTCAGTTGCCGATGCCATACAACTACGAGGACGATGACGTCGGTCGTACATCCCTTCCCATGTCGACGCTCAACAATCTTCTCTGGCGCATGAAAAGTAGGTTAGTAAGCACTCTACAACGTGGGATGACGCGGTTGACTAATTGAAAGTAGAACTGAACGTCCTTGCGAATGTTTCTCTTTTCAGGCAATGACTGCAGCGCGGCTGGCTGGCTGGGAAACGGATAGAGATCGTGGACTCGTGTGGTGCTAGGATTCCTCCGAAGGTAGACGACCTGCCAAACACCCCTCGGCGATGCACGCGGGCCATTACAAGGCTCAATGCTCTGGCATCGCAGCAGGTGTGTTCTGCGTGCCTCGTTGCACGACGTTCAGGTTCAACGGGTATGGCATCGTTTTCCATGCTGTTGTCATAATATATCTACAGGAAGCGCGAGCGAGATATTGTGTATGAATGTGGGTGCAGTGCAGGCAAATTTAGAGTAAAATTGTTGAGAACGAGAACAAGGATCTCTAAAATTTCCCGCTAGCCGACTTGAACGACTGACCTCGACATTGCGCTACTAGTGTCGCGCTCTACCAACTGAGCTAAGAGGGATATTGGCCAGTAGGCTGCAAAAATACTAAGTCGCAAATATACCTTGTCAGATTGTCTTGCCCGTGAACGACGCGTCGTGCAGACGCGTCGGACGCGTTCGATTACAAGATACTGACATTTAGCGTCCCCGTCGCTCTCCTCTTCTTCTGACAATCGTAACTCGGGACTAGCCATGTACTCCGAAGACTCGCTTGACATCACAGTTCGAAGAGACGATCCGCACCTTCTTTCGGAGTCGCCGCTGTTCCCCTCGCAATCCAATACCGGGCCAGGCGGAGACGATCTGTCCCTCTCAGAACTCTCTCTCAAGGACAGACCGGCTCCGTCCAGAAAACGGTTCAGCCTGTTTGCTCAGCCCCCAGAAGACGAGTCGATTGATCAAGAGGAGGGGGACGATGCAGGTGTAGAAGGGCAAGAGGAGAACGAGGAAGAGGCGGAGAACCGACGGAAGGCTGCCTCGCGGACAAGGGAGGAGAAACTGCAGCACGACCTATTCATCTTGCGCAGATTGAATTCCGCATTCTCCGTCTTCAATGAGGGGCTACGTGAGGCCAAGACGAGCAGTGAGGTGGGTGCCTAGCTTTCCTCGCTTATGTGATAGTTTGTTGGACTACGGTCTAGAAAGTCTCTGCGCAGTTGGAGCAGACCGATGCCTTGCTAGATAAATACATGAATATCCTGGTCAAGACCCAGTCTGTTGCCGGTCTGATATTTGACGAGAAATGGCAGGGCGCAGATGCGGTATGTCATGCCAAAGTCCAACCCTACCTACTAGACTGACGCAACTCGCATCCAGGACCAAGACCTACTGGAGAAAGAGTTGGAGGAGGCGGAAGCCCGAATTAGACAAGAGGAAGAGGAACGTCTGGAGGCAGAGCGGTTGGAACACGAACGACGGGAACGAGAGAAACAGGAGAGGCAGGAACGAGAAGAACGGCGGCTGCTGGAGGTAGAACAGCGGCAACTCACTGCGGCTTCTAGAGGACGAGTGACTGGAGTGAGAGGTACCAGAGCCTCTATGCGGGGTGCCCGCGCCTCTAATCGTGCAGGTAAATCACTGTTCAGGCTTAACATTGCGGGATATTGAATATGTGCAACCTGGATAGGCGCAACATCCGGTGTTCCTAGACCCAGTAGTGCGGGGAGGTCAGGAATTGCTCGAGGGACAGGGTCCTCCATCTCACGAGGATCAGGCACCAACAGAAGAAGATGAAACTGAGCAAACCAACGATTGGATATGACAGATTCTCAATCCTATACCCAGGTTGACGGACCAAACTGTATCCTTATTGCACTATCTGTATCCTCGTTCCCTGCCATTAACCTACTTCTAGTGGAACTCAGTTCTACCGCGATTCCGACATTTGCACCAACAGAGGCCCGCTCCTCCTCATATAGTGCTGGTCGGACGGCATGCGTGCGATCGCTTCAGTGACGACTGCCAATGGTGATAATGGCAGTAGGTCCGATCCTCCGACGCCGAAGAACGCCGGCCGCCCTTGGGGAGCAGGCCTCTACGCAAAAGACAAAATATGGCTTTGATCTCCGCTGTCGACATTAAATGGATTGCTTTGTTAACGCGGATGCGCGCTGTGACCTACGGCACACAAGACAGCAGGAACAGTTCATTTATAGTAATACGGGTACTCCAAATCGGCCTCGTCGCTGCCAAGTTCCTCCTCGCCATCCCACGTGCATTCCTCCACGACCTCGCTAAGGAACTCAACCTCGTCATGCATACAGTTGATCGTGTTAACAATCTCCAAGCGGCGGAGTTTCCGCTCTGCAGATTCCCTGGACTTCAGCGCTAGTTTAAACTGCTCTACGAAGTCGTCAGCGCCAGGCGCCGAATAAGCTTCGTAGAACCGGATCCGCTCGAGCCGGATGCACTCGAGACGAGGGAAGAGCGGGATGCAAGCGTCAAGGTTCCCGGAGGCGCCACTCGCAGTTGAACATGCCCCCATTCCGGGTTTCTTTGTCTTGCTCTGAATGCGGAGACCATCAGTAAGTCCTCTCGCTCCGACTCCTTTGACTCGCAGGTGAGTGACGTTCACCAGTTGCTGGAAGGTTTGTCTCCATGGCAGGTCACAAGGTTGATCCAGCAAATGGAGATGGCTGAGGTCCGAGAGAGATAGCCCAGTGACCACAGTTTCGATCACTCGATCAAAGGTGTCAGGGACGGTGAGCTGGAGCTTGGCAGCAGGGTGGGGCACACCTGTCTCGTCAGGATGGACGGTCGTCCAGCCTTGAAACTGAATCATTGATCCATAGGGTTCTAGTTGGAGGACACGTAAAGGCTGAGAGCTCATAATGCCGTTGATCGTGGAAAATACGCGTTTCAGTGACTGAGACAGCGCGAGGCTCGCCCCATGTCCTCTCTCGCGACCCGAAACGACTGAGATGTGCATTTTCACCTCCGAGGGCAAACTGAGATGTGCCAGGAGGTCTGCGCAAGGCGCAGCCATGCATTCGATTTCCAGATAATGCAGGTGGCGGAGGGCCACTTGATTATCAACATCCTTGGGCAGACCCTCCTCTGCCTTACTGACCAGAGAACTTGACAGTATGAGGTTGTGGAGCAAGGGCATATCGCGAAGGAGTTCCAGTAGGATAGGCACAGTAGTTTCGACCCGGCACATGGACCATGCAAAGGAGGTAAGGGAGGGCAAAAGAAGCATTTTGAAGAAGGGAAGAGAGTAGCTCTCGACATCGAGCTCCTGCAGGTGAGGTGCGGACAAGCTCGAAACGAAGGGCAAGAGATATGCGTCATTCTGGTCAAACCCCGTTCTCAGTCTCAGGACCTGTAGACAATCTGCACTCCGCGCTTGGTGACCATCGAACACTTGCGGAGTCCTTCGAGAGAGAAAGAGTTCAAGGTCGCGTATACGATGTATCTCTTCAAAGATACGTCTGTATGACTCCACGTAATCCCGGTCCTCATGCCAGTGATCATGCACCTGGCGAATCTTTAATGGAGCTTGTTTGGAGCGGAGCAACATCTCCGTGACATGGGCTGGGCTGGTATCATGGATCTCCGCCCATAGCCTTGCATTCTGAAGAGCTACTTCACGCCAGTCATGACATACTTGTGTGATGATATACCGGTAGGCATACCACATCCAGGGGCTAAATACTTGACAGCGGTTATCAGAATTATGTGGGTTCCCGTTCATGTAGGACATGAAGATGCGGGCCATAAGTTCGGGTGGAAGTCGGGAGATCGGTAGCAGCTTGTTCATAGCGGTCAAATGCCCTGTAGTTCTGCTCGCGAAGGCCTCTCGAGCCGCCATTACAAGGGCACCTTCGTCGAGCGAAGACGCACTGAGTCTAGAGAAGTGTATGTGGTTCAATCCAAACGTACTGGCACCCGGGACTACTCACTGGGCTGCGCTCTCCTCCATCCAAACTTAAGGAGAAAATTCCACTACGTATTTAAAATAGCTTATGTTGCGGAGGGCTCGGTCTAAAAATAGATCGCCTCCCTTAATTTCTGCGTTTGCCGTCTCGGGCAGCTCGAAGTCTCGCCTTTCCTAATGGTCAAGGCAGCGGCTCTTAAGCGCAAGCGCAGCACAGATGATTTAGATGTGTCCGACTTGGAATCCGTTTCTTCGAGACCGGACGTCGAGCCGGACGGAGAAATTGACATAGCGTCTGCCTTGGTCGGCAGCAAGAGGCAGAAGACTGCTATAGATGATGGGGTTGGTCAGGTCGACGAAGATGACGACGAACATCTTCAAGATATCATCCGCGAGTCCATCGCAAAGCGAGACAAGAAGGGCGGTACCGAAGTGTTGAAGCAGGTCAAGGGAAAGAACAAGATGGTCAAGGGCGAAGTTGGGGGAGGTAGCTTCCAAAGCATGGGTGCGTTTGCCAATTCAATAAATCATGAGAATTCAGAGTCTGACTTTGTTCTGATGTATAGGATTATACCCTTGGCTGCTACGGTCTTTAACTTTGCAAGGGTACCGAACGCCCACGCCTATCCAACGTCTAGCTATACCTTCGCTATTGACGAGTCCTCCTCGCGATCTCGTAGGAATGGCTAGGACTGGTTCAGGAAAGTCCCTTGCCTACATGGTACCCCTCATTCAACGGCTCGGTGGTCGGCATTCCACCGCCTTTGGTGCGCGCGCACTTATTCTATTACCTGCTCGAGAATTGGCTCTGCAGATCCTCAAAGTCGGCAAGGAGCTTGCGAGAGGATGGCATGCAGGCGAGGGTGACCACGCAGGGGAGAAGAGCACGGAAGATTCCAAGAAGAGTCAGGGCCTACGATGGGGATTGGTGGTCGGTGGTGAGGGAATGGACGAGCAATTCGAGATGATCACCAATAACCCCGACATGTATGCTTTCATCTTGATCAGTCTGCTTATATTTATAAAAGATTTTCAGTATCATCGCTACTCCCGGTCGCCTGCTCCATCTCATTGTCGAAATGAATCTTGACCTCAAGTCCGTACAATACGTTGTATTCGACGAAGCCGATCGCCTCTTCGAAATGGGGTTCGAGACAGCGCTTACAGAGATCTTGGGCCGTCTTCCAGCATCACGACAAACCCTCCTCTTCTCCGCTACCCTCCCCAAGTCACTCGTCGAATTCGCCAAGGCCGGTCTGCAAAACCCGAAACTGGTCCGCTTAGACGCAGAAACGAAGATCAGCACGGAGCTGCGCATGGCGTTCTTCTCTGTCAAGCAAGCGGAGAAGGATGCGAGCCTGTTCTTCTTGTTGCGCAACATTATCGGTGTGCCTCTCGGCAGATCCAAGGAGGAAGAGAAGGATGAAGCCTCTGACAAGAAAGGGAAGGGCAAGTCGAAGTTCGATCGCGTCACTGCTCCCCATCAGACCCTCATCTTCGCTGCGACGAAGCATCACGTCGAGTATCTCACTCAGTTACTGCGCACGGCCGACTACTCCGTCTCGCAGATCTACGGCTCCCTTGACCAGTCTGCGCGCACACAACAGATGGAGGAGTTCCGTCGTGGCCATACCAACATCCTGG